GTCAGTGTTCAGTCCTCTTCCTCACTCTCTCTCTTCCTTTTTCCGCTACCTGAAAGTGCCCTTCTCTGAACACTGCGTTCCTGCTTCACAGTCTGAAACATGACAGAAGCGCACTTTACTTCCTCTGTGAAGTTCATGGCCAGCCACCTGACCGGCAGTGAGCAAAGAAATGTGGGCAGGATTACTTGCTGCTTCTGGCGGAAGCATTTGGCTGCCTTATGTGACAATGCAGAACTCTTTCTCTCAACACATTCCAGGTGGTTGAGGTTCTGTGGATGTGATTCACAGAGAAAGCACCCCTTAGTTGATGCGTAATGTGAGCACATGCACAATGTGTAAATGTAATATGAGTCATTAAATGAATCCACTGGCCATTACTGTATCATAATCTAATCCATACCAACCAATGTATCTGGCTGCTGTTGATTTTTAGGTTTTTATTACTTCTCACCTGGGTTCTTAACACATGATCTGTGCGTGTATGAGTAGTGTGGTCTGCACACAGGTACCAATCTGCAAACTACTGCTGGCTTATAAGAAGTACAGATATTAAGAACAAACATTTAGAAGTTCTTGTAGCAAATTGATTTAATTGATGTGTTAAATCTAATGTATAGTAAAATGTTTGATCTTGTTTTCCTTTAACATCTCAGCTTTGTGCTTTGCCTATGGTGGTGCTAAATATGTTAAATTGGATCACAGATTTACGATTAAGAACCGCAGTAGGATTTCAAACAATTGCAAGAAGATCTGGAGGTGTTTGGGGAACAAGTCTTTTCCTTGTTAAGGTGAGATCATCATTTGTAAGTTCCCAGAGTTTCTTTGGGGCAACACAAAATTTAGCTCCTCCAAGAGTCAGAGAAGCTTCCTGAGATTCTCTTCATTTACTGTTAAATGTTGTTTCAGATTTATCTAAGAGCATGAAAGCATTTACCCTTTGGAATACAAGCCTGTAAATATATTGCCAATGAATACATTTTTAAAATTATCCACAAACAGCTTGACATTTTGGTACATTTGTTTAACCATCTAAGAGGATACTGTTACTGATCCCTAAAGCACTTCCTATCTCCCTTTAACAACTAATTTTCTTTCCTCACAAAAGTTCTTTGAGACATAATTAATGTGCTATACAAGAGACTGCGTGGTACTTTGGGAAGAACAGTGCACCAGGTGTCAGGAGACCTGCCTCTGACCCTCTGCACCCACCTCACTTGCTGGCTGCTAAAGAAAGCCATTATTAACCACTTGGTACCCTAATTTCTTCCTCTTCTGAGGATAATTAACGATAAGTAAATTACATCAGCACTGTTATGAGAATCAAGATAAAGGGTACAGAAGCACTTCAGTAAATAAAGTGCAACACAATTACAATTTAGTATTTATGCATAACACTGCCTCATAATGCCATCAAATTAGTTCATAAACAGATTTTCTGCTTTCTAGTCAGACAAAAATTTCCTCGAGAGGCGTGCTATGCAATTTTTCTTTGTATCTGGTGGGACACATAATACGCTATAATTATTGCTTGAAAACTGCTTATCCAAAGTTTTTAAACCATAAACTGTATAAACTAAATAAACTTTATATACTGCATGAGGAGTACTCCTGACACTGACAATATACTTCTAGAGTTAGGGCTAAGGGGAACTGTAATTGGCACCCGAGTCCCTTGAGGATAGGGCTCATGTTTCATTAATCTTTGTATTGCCAGCACTTGTAGCAGTATCTAAGCACAAAGAAGGAACTCAGAAGGAACACTGTATTACACACCCTTGCGTCAAACCCTAACACCCAGTGTGTGAAGAAGGGTCTTCAGGGAGTTAGGATTGAATGAAGTCACAAGAGTAGAGCCCTAATCTGATATTGCTGACTTTATAACAGGGAGAGACTCCAGGACACAGTCTCTCTGCATGCACACAAGAGGGGCCACATGAGGTTGGAGCCAGAAGGTGAATGCTCAGAACCCTGAAACTAAATCAGACAGCATCTTGATCTGAGACTTTTAGCCTGAAGCACTGTGAGAAAATAAATTTCTGCTCTTGAAATCACCCAGTTTGTAATAATTCTCTATGGCTGGCTGAACTAATTAAGATACCCCTTGGAAGACAAATTGAATGATGTGAACTTCAGTCAAATACTTAATATTATCTCTATTCAGCAACCCTCAGACCAAAAAGCCAATCCTAAAGGAAAAAAAAAAGCCAATCTGCAATTTGCCTTGCGTTGGTTTCGGAGAAAGTTTCCTGAGTCATCTCAGTATCTTATAGCATGATATAGCTAGGCATTCTAACAGCTCCACAGACACGTGATTTTCCAGCCTCTGCTTAGCAAGCACAGCAGTTCTTAGTCAAACATCATTAAGAGGATTAGGCTGCTGGAAGACGGGTGGGGATAATGATTGAACAGAAAGAAGAGAAACTGTACTATTAATTGCTCGGAGGACAGCACGTTATTCTGTGAACTGTCAAGGTGAAACATGGCTTATGAATAAAGAGCTCCTGGATGGAAGAACTATACATTTTGGCAGGAACCAGGGTGTAGCAGCAGTGAAGAGGCCTCCTGCTAGGGGCTGATGGAAAAAGTGACCTCACAGAGGAATTCAACACAGAAATGTTCCAAAAGAGAAGAAACACCATGAACTTTGGATTAAGTCGTTTGGTTCCAGGCTCATAAAACCATAAAGTTGTTTCAGCCAAAACATTGATTACATTAACTTTGTGGATTACCTTCTTATTCAAAATGCAGCTTAGAATTCCAGAGACCTCTATTCTCAGATTTTTAGAGTTTTACGATATTTAAAAGACATTCTTCGAAAGAGCCCAGGTAGGAGAAGCAAAATAAATCAGCCCAGAGCCATTGTACCAGGATGATCCGGGCTTTCCCTGAGCCTCCCGGAGGCGGAGACACACAGAGCGGGGACTCCAGAAAGCTGCAGCCAGCGCAGCCCCGCAGAGAACCCCCACAAGCCCTTCCCTCCCGTCCCAGCTAGAGGGCCCCTCGTTTACCGAAAAGTTCCAGGGCTCTATCGCAGCACTTCGTGTCTTTTACCAGCAGTAGTTACATTACCAGTACAATGAGCATTTCAGAGCCGGGGTTTCTCCCTATGTGATTGATGCAGAAATTCATTGAAAAAGTCAAGCGTTTGCACAGAAAGATGAAACTCATAATTTCACATGAATATGAACAAAACCACAGACTACAATAAAACACCCCACTCCACCCACCCCCACCTCAGAAAAGCTTTCATTTTTAAATATAGATTCACACTTTGAGCTAGGCATGAATCAGTTCATATTTAATGCCAGTGGAATGTAATTTTAGAGAACTTCCAGAAAGAAAGGGAGGTGTGAATACATAAAACTTATTTATATTTTTATTTATGCTACTTCCCACAGATTGAAAATAAATTTTCAAGAATAATTCTCTAGTTTATCTATGCCTATAGTTTGAAAATGTGCTGATCTAGCAGCGCCCTCTAGCGTTCAAGTGGACCCTGTGCGTTTGCCTTCAGGTAAAATGCAAGCCACAATATAACCAAACAAATCTATAATTAGCATTCACTTGTTCAACAAATATTTATTGAAAGTCTGCTATCCGCCAGTTACTGTGGAAAGTGACAGGATATAGAGATGTATTTTTAAAAGACGTAATTTCTTGTTCTGTTCTTAAGGAGCTTGGAGTCTAACAAGGGAGACAAATGTAAACTCAATTATGAAATTACTTACACGAATCACTTTACCTAGTTTTATACTAAAATAAGACAGACACAGATGGCTCTTTTTTCCAAACTGTGTTGGGCCATTATCCAATTAGCAGGATTTATACAGAAAAACTTGAGCCAAGTACACAGGGAACTTTCTGAACCAGAGTAAACATCCCAGTACACACAATGGCATTGAGTCCTGGTTTTAATGCTTTGAGAAAGTATCTTTCACAGCCAAACCCAAGACTCTTCTGATCTCAGTTTCCAAGGGGCCCACAGGTCACTAGACCTGACACACGAGTCTGACACGTGAAGTTTTCCACTTCAGTTGAGTGTGACGGTGTACTCCTGTGATTCCAGCACTTGGGAGGCTGAGGTACGAGGATCATTGGTGAGTCTGAGGCCACACTGAGTTACATAGTGAGTTCAAAGCCAGCCTGAACTACACAGTGAGACCTGGTCTCAAACAAAAAAAAAAAAAAAGAAAGAAAGAAAGAAAGAAAAAGGAAAAAATGTTCTCCACTTTTATCTAAAAATATAGTTTTTCAATCACCGTGATAAAAGTCCTCAAACAAAATCCAGTAAGAGAGTAGAGAAACTAAGAGATCCTAAGAACCTATCCTACAATGTTCTAGGATTTTTGAATCAGCAAACTGCCCCGTGGAGTTACAGAAGAACGTATTCTGAATAGTTGCATCTTCAGGGTTTCTGGTGAAGGAAAGGGAGTCTAAAGAAGTTGTGACAACTTTTCATCAGGAATAAAAGCAAACTCAAATTACCATCAAAAGAAAGGAGTCAGGAATAACTACAGACCAAGAATAGTGTTTTGTACCATTTTGGAATGTTTCTAACCTTTGTCATTTTTTCCATTCTTGTTACAGTTGTTTCCTGATCACCCATGTGAACTCGGTATGGTTAGGGCTCGTGACTTGGTTCTCCGGAATGTGAAAAGTGATAATCACACTACGCAAGATCATAAGCTTCATCCTCCCTTGCTACTTTGATAGAGTAACCAGTTGTGCTGGAAAGACCCATGTGTCAGAAAGCCTAGGATGGTCTCCTGTCCTACTGTTAGGAACTGAGGCCCTCAGAAGCAATGGCAACCACATGAACAACAAAGCAGATCCTTTCTTGGTCAAACATCAGGTGAGACTGCAGCCCTGCCAACACCTCAAGTGCAGTTAACCAACCCATCCCCGGATCATGTATCCATAAAAAGCACAAGATCACAGTGCACTATTTTTAATTGCTAATATTATGCAATGATAAGTAACACAGTCAGATTTCAAGATGCTTTTTGTTTTGAAATATTTTTATTACAAAAGGAATACAAATAAAAAGTGAAACACTGAAAGACAAAATCATTTCTTTACTGCCCTCCGAGCCTACTATAACCAGTTAATAATTTTATTTACTTTAGCATCTTTGCATTGTTTGATGTGTCATTTATGTCATTATGATATAATCACATGTGAAATCATGATTACATGCATTCAGTTTTGTATCTTGCTATTTTTAACATTTTCTCATGTTTTTCATCATATTCATTACTAATTTTTAATGAGAACATAAAATTTCATAGATATCTTATCATTGACTATTTACCTAAACTAGAGGACAGCAAATTGTGGCCTCAAATTTGTAAATAAAGTTTTATTGGAACACAGCCATACCCATTTGTCTATGGTTGTTTTCATGCTTCAAACAGCAGTATTGAGCAGTTATGAAAGACTGTATTATAAAATGCCTAAAACATTCACCTTCTGGCCTTTTACCGAAAGTATGCTGACTCCTGCATGAAATTTTTAAGTAACCTATAATTTGGGCTATTAAAAGTGATATCACTTGGGAAATCTTTGTGTATATAATTTTCATATTTTATATGAAAAATTGTACATATTTTATATGTACAATTTATAAAAGTAGAATAACTGGATCTAATTACTAAAGATATTTTTAGGACTGATGCTGTCCCTTCCTTGCTCTTAAAATCTTTTGGCTATGATATGACAGCTGGAAGGAATGGAAAAGAGGACCAGTACTCTTGTAGGAAGCGTATCTCTGGTCCCTATTAATGTGGGTACGTAAAGTAACACCCTTTAGGAGCATATTTTCAGTTTTGATTTAAAATCAATCAAACAAGGTAGTACAGTAGCAATAAAGTACAGCAAGAAAACAAACCAACTAAAAGAAATCTTACTTTCTGTGAAGAAGGAAAACACAGGCGGAAGTAAACTCTGTGATGTCAAGGTGCAGCTCAAGTGCCACCCAAAACAGCCACAGTGCGAAAGGCAGGGGACAGCAGAGCACCAGCACCGACAGCTGAGCACGGCATGACAGGAGACGCAACGTGTTCCACCTCTCTGAACAAAACTGCCACTGAACCTAAGTACTGTACTTAAACTGTCTCTGTTAGAAAATTCCTTAACTGCTCTATGTTTTGAGTAATACAGGTTCTTGTATCTAGGAAAATTTCATCTTTCAGACATAAAAATTATAGAATGGGACCAATTAACTCAACCCTCCGATAAAACCTGAGTCCGTCTCTGAGATGAAAGATGAGGCAGGCTGATAGGTCTCAAATCCAATCTCTTATAAATAAAATAAGCACCAAGAGGTGTAGATGTCATCTTCGAAGGGAAATATTCTGCAAAATAAAAGAGGAAAATATTAGAATGGACCCTTTATCCAGCAAATAATATAATTTAAAAGCAAAATTAAGATATTTAAGATAATTACCCCAGTGATGACCATAAAGTATGTAAAGACATTCCATGTAAAACATTTATTAAAATGTTCTTGTCAAAACGCCAACCAACTTAAATTTCCTAAATAAGCATTCTTCTGGTTGAAACCATCATTAGTCTTTATATTCCACTTCAGTTACTCACTAAAGAATTAATCTTATGACAACTTCATGAATTATTCTGGGGAATTATGAAATTTGCCATATAGCAGAGAAATCAAATTACTTTTGTAAAACTAATTACAAAGATGTTACCTTGTACAAAATATAAGCAGTTTTATGAGGTAGGAAAAGCAAGCCATTTTTTTTTATCGAAATGTTCACATGGCAAAAAATGTAGAAGTCCTATGAATGACTTGATTTGCACTTAAATCATGTCATAATTTTCTTCTTTTTCATTGTTTATTGTCAGTTTCCTCAAAACCAACCTGAGGGTCTGGCAGCACAAATCCATCTGTAAGTTTGTAATAGACTATTGTAGAATCGGACTCCACTATGGCCAAAGTGAAAGACATTGGCAAATCTGGATCACCTTGCAATTTTCGAGATGCCTTCAAGATCTCTCTTATCCTAAAAACAAGGATATAACACATTTAGGAATCACAGTCCCTCAATTAGTGATAACATATTGGAAGACTCTGAGGAAAAGATAGGTAATTATGCTAAGGAAATTTCTGAAGGCTCAAACCTATTCATTTAGAGCTGACTTCTCACATAGTAAATAAGAACTACCTATCAACTTCCAACACCCCAGCCTTCCTCATCAGCTGTGTTAAGAACCTACAAAATGGAACGCTAACAAGATTTTGTATATCTATGGGCCAGGGACACTAATTTTTCAATTATCCAACTTGGTATCTTACAGTTGAACAAGTTGTATTCAGGTCTACTATTTTAAAAAATAGACTGCAGTAAGTAGTTTCCTCATATTTTTACATTGGGTTTATAATTACCACCTTTAAAATAAGATTATTGTAAGGATCAGTGGTAGCATACACAAAAGGGCTTTGTAACATGTCAAGTCCTCACTGAATACAAACAGCTACGCTAGCTTTGCTACTTTGGCAACTGAGACATAATGTATCTCCCTCCATGGTTACTGTTTAAAAAAAATACTAACTGGAACGTACTAAGCTATACTGTGCCATTCATTTGTGGAAGTATAGAAAATACTTGTTTTTTGAAATACATATCCTGAATCCCCCAAAACCTGATTTAGCCCTTAAACAATAATTTCCACCTATGTTGAATTGCAAGACCGTGAGTTAGATTCTGTTCATATGAGCAGTTTAGGTTAGAGATTCAGAAACATGCAGTCATTAATCAGAAACTTCATTCCCCAACACTGATGGAAAGTGGTACCCTGAAAAAAGAGGTACCCTGATCATTTCATCAATGCAAATCTTTTAGTGTATTTTCCTTCTTCAAAAATGGCAAAGTAATAGTCATAGAAAAGATCAATTTTATAGGCTGTCCATCTTAAATTTTTTCTACAAAGATGAAAAAGAACAGGCTTGGTATGGTGGCACACACCTGTAATCCCAGTACTTGGGAGGCTGAGGCTGCAGGGTCATTGTGAGTTCCAGGCCAGCCTGTACAATGCAGTTATTTCAAGGCTAGCCTGAATTACATAGCAAGACCTCATATCCCCCCCAAAAAAATGAAAAGAAAAGACTACAAAATAACTCTAATTTTGATCTACCTAAATCTTCTGTTGTCATATGTATCTCAGTTACTTCTCAGTATACACCACACATAAAACTCAGTGCATAAGGCACACAGAAACCAGTGCAGTGCCACAAGTTAAATTTAATTTCTCTGAACATCTCTAACCAGTAGACTATGATGAGAGTAGGACACAGAGGAAAAGGAAAAAACCATGTAAGATAACCCTGCACATTTTCTGCTCTTCAATATTGTTCAAACCAAGAGGCGGAGCATGGCTGTGCTTTTTTCCTACGTTAAACTATGTGACTTCTAGCTCATATATTGAAATTCTGAATAGAAATTTCCATCTCATTCATTCCTCTTCTCTCTTCCTCAATTGATGTTTTGTTTTCAAAGTTATGTATTATAAACAGCAAAACATTTTCAGACTTACTCAAAATACCCATGTGGGAAACCTTAAGGTTTGAAAATTAGTTCAGTGTTGTAAAGGGGGATTTGTTTTCAGAGGTGAGGGAAATCACGGTCAGAAACGAAATGGAAGTTCCCACCTCTGTGCTCTTTTTCACACCACTTGGCAGTGTGTGGGGACAAAACTAGCAATGAATCTTCACAGTAAAGATGGACAAAATAGTTACTTAAAGCACATTTGGGAAGTCTTACAGTTTCTTGTTTAGGATCTTTTCTAGAATTTTGTTAATATTATCTTTCCTCAGTCAAGAATTTTTTATTTGTTTCCTTCACAGGATACTGTATAAACTCATAAAAAGGCTTACAATGCATTTAACAGATTATGTTTATATTAACAACAACAAAAGGTTCTGAAATTCCAAGTTCTTAAGTTATCTTACAGAATCACACACAATTGTAAAGATGCCAAGAATGGAGAAGTATTGCTAGAATATTATACATAGTCTCACTTTATCGCCAGGAAATCTGAAATCTTATAGGGCACAGAAATCTACATGTGAAAATGTGCTGCATATTAGTAATAAAATTTTTCAACTCAGTTAAATCTTTTTTTTTTTTTTAACCAGGAACTGAACTCAGGACCTTGCACTTGCCAGGCAAGAACTCAATTAAATCTTAAGGGGAAAAAATCACATTTAAAGAAAGAGAGCTGGGGATTTAGCTCAGCAGCATGAGCACCTGCCTGGCAAACATGAGGTCATAAGTTCGATCCTTAGTACAAAAAAAAAAAAAGAGAGAGAGAGACACATCAATATTAATCACAGCTGTTGAGTAAAAGTAATATATTCATAGCAGATGATATTCATAGCAGATATAATGATATTCATAGCAGATGTTTCCTAGTAACTGTTCATAGGTGAGCATATATACTGAAAAACAAATGGGTGACTCTAAAGCTTAATATATCTAACTTGACAAGTGTGATGCAAACACATAGCAAACACTTTTTAGCTAACTATGTGTTTAGTCCATAACTAAAGATTTATGCTTTCCATAAATCTTAGCATTGATTTTTCTGTAAGGATTCTAAAACAGAGACTAATGTAATCTCTGGAGACTTACAGTGAGGACAAAAAGTGAAAGAAAATGGTATTTTTAGCTAAACATGTTGTTAAAATGGAGTGCACCACAGATTAAAATTAGTATTAATTTAAATACACAGAAGGTAGTATCTCCTGCTCTCAAGTGGCCAAACAAGTACATGCTGCAGCCTTATCAATAAAAGGCACCAACACCTTGATCTGCCTCATCATGATACAAGTAAATGACCTCCCATAATGCAACTGTGAAACACAATGCAAAATTAACTCAGTAGCAGATGCACCAAAGAGGCTATATTCATCTATCAGCTCAGTCCTGAGAAAAAGCTTCAAGAACAAGAGTCTCCCCATTGGGAGTCATGCCAAGGGCTTCCTAATTTAAAAAAATTTTTTTTAAATCAAAGCAACTATAATCTCAAGGGTTTATTGAACAAGCAGTGCCTGTGTGGCTCTTCACCTCAGTGGGAAGTCATTCTGCTAAAATAAATAAGTTTGGGTGGTTTTTTTTTTTTTTTTTTTTGAGAGAGAGAAATACTGAAAAATGCTGTTTAAATTGAAAGAAGCCGCCAGAATTGGAGGTTTCACCAGTAAACAACAGGTTTCCCCAACAGAGGTAAGCTGAGGACATGCATCCTGATATAAGGAGAATCCAAGTACAGAAATCATTCACCACTATTTAGGCCTCAAACAAAATAGCTGTCATTTGGGAAATTTAGAAGACTGTAAACATAAACTTACAATATAGTCTGTGCTTTCAGAAATAACTTTAAATTACAGAGAAACAATAATGGAGTAGCTGTCAAGAAAATATGCAGCATTTGGTATTAAAGCCCATAACAAAGACTATCTCTAGTAATGTTCTAAAGAAATCAGTTCTAGTAGCTTTATTCCATCATTAATATAGTCCTTTTCCCCAGATAAAGCCTCAAGAGATTGGGGGAAGGGGATGAAAAAAAGAATTGAGATGTGTTATGTATATGTACCAACTCCCCACAAGTAATATAATCATTATATAATACATACATGTAGTAATAAAAAATAAAAACAGGAAAAAAAGAAATTGCAAATTAAAAAATAATGACACACTCCTCCACAAAATAGAAAAGTTAACTCTGCCCCTAAAAAATAAATAATAATAATACTGTGATGGCAAAAATATATGTTGCTAAAAGAAGCCAATCTAAAAAGGATACATTTTCGGCCAGGGATTTAGCTCAACGGCATAAGCACCTGCCTAGCAAGCATGAGATCATGAGTTCCATCCTCAAAACTAAAAAAAAAAAAAAAAAAAAAAAAAAAAAAAAAAAAGGCAGGGGAGGGAAGAAAAAGGATACATTCTGCATAATTCCAACCAGGTAACATTCTTCAAATGTTGAAACTTATAGAGAAAGTGAAAAGTTCAAAGGCAGCTGTGGGTAGAGGCTCAGAGTAGGCAGAGATGAACAGATGAAGCACTGGAGATTTTTAGAGCACTGAAACTATTTTGTATGCAATGGCAGATATATGGCATTACATATTTGTCAAAAATCATACAATTATATATTACAAACTATGAATTCTAATGTCAACTATGAACTTTACTTAATAATAATGTATCAATGTTAGATTACAAGTTAAAACAAATGTAACATTAATGCAAGATGAAATTACAGGAAATGATGATGGGCTTACATGGGAAATCTTCCTATTATCTGTTCGACTTTTGTATAAGTTTATAGTTGTCCTAAAAAATAACATAAGGTCTCTCTCTCTCATAGATAGATAGATAGATAGATAGATAGATAGATAGATAGATAGTAGGGGTATCACTACCTCCTACCTACGAGTCAGCTGTAGTTCCCCTATATTCCAATTACCTTCCAAAAGCCCCATATCTAAACACATGAGGTTCTCAGGGGACCTCTAGATCTAAACCTTAACACTATGAACCATGTTCAGTTTTGAGGATCTCTTACCCTTTAGTACCTTGCTCATGTTATTACTCCTGCCAGGAACATATATCCGTGTCCCTGTTCTGTATTAAATGTCTATGCATATTGCAAACAACAGGTCCTCCAAAAAGCTTTCACAGACTCTGCCACTTCCTTACTCCATCATTGAAGGTCTCTCCTCTCTGTAGTCTCCCTCAGTGCCCTGCACACATCTTTCACTGCATTTATCACACTGGACATAATCTGCCCATCTCTGCTCTGGACTGCAAGAATCTTGTGGGCAAGGTCTGTGGTATTTTGTACTCCTTGAGTTTAGGGATATATAACACATAAATGAGGAATTTAGAAAATAATGGAATAATCTGCAATTTATCTTTTTATTCTTTCTCAAAGCAAGCTTACGTTTTGTCTCTAGTCTATAGTTACATTCATATTTATTCATATTCACTGTAATGCTTAACGG